AGGCTCACTTCTTCTGTTTGAAGTGTTGTTTCTCGAGGATGATGGCATCTCATTCCTCTGTACATATGAATTCTTTCTATAATTTGATTCAAACCTTGCTTGTGGTGGAGGCATTAAAGCCCTATCAGAGTTTTGCTTCTACAAGATTTCACAACATTCAAATTCTTAAATCAGAGTTTGTCATAGAAACCATGTCTGTAGTAAAAAGTGGCATCACCATTCATCGTACCTGATTCCTTTCATCACTAGACATGCCAGAAGTTGCTCTACCAGAAGCACTAGAAGCAGCCTCCCTAAGAAATTTAGTCAGAAATTCTCTTTATTAGTAAGCTTCAATTAAAAGTATTAACGTCTAAAAGAAAGTATTCCACATTTAACTAGGCCTACTTTGCGCTTTTATCGGTCAATTCATCATCTGCGTCTGCTTCATCGCTTGAACTCCCTTTATCAAAGAAATCATCATCACTAAGGTCCAGAAGACCATCGTCTTCACTCCCTGTCTCTGTTTGTCGACAACCATAACATAAATTATCAATTATTAGCTATGATACTTCATAGTTGGGAAATAAGCATCTCTAAATATCATGTGTTTACCTTCTAACTCTTTCCCACTAGCAGCAGCAACAATAATATTGGCTTTGATCTGCTTCCGCATTTTACCTCTCTTCTCAATTACTTCTGAATCCTCAGCTCCAGTAAAAAGAGATACATACTTCTCATTTTTCGGGAAGAACTGCAATTTCACATTTAAGAAGAACAGAGATTCTCAACTAAGCTCATTCTAAATCATATAACTAACAAGCAGAAGGATGAGAGATAGTAAAAAAAGAAGGAAGGTAGAGTAAGTAAAAGTGAATTTACCCGAACATACTCAAGGTCTTCTTTGAGTTTACTTAGTTGCTCAGCTATATCTGTATCGCCCACATGAGCAGATGAAGTACGTTGTAACTTCTCAAGACGTCTAATACTCCTTTCGATCTTTCTCCGCTCTAATCAAGAAAATAAAAAGCTCTAACTTCTCAGGCATCATTACTAACTAAATCATGACTAAATATTAGACGACAGGTAAAAGCTCTTCTTACCAAAGAACTTAATCTTTCTGTTCCTAAGGAATATTTTACGTTCAACAGCAAGACGGGTATGAGCGTCTTGCTGCTTCTTCAAATCTTCCAACTTCTCTACTAAAGACTCTCTTACTTCAGGAGGCAAATCCTACAGAGTATCAAAAATACATCAACATTCAAAATTCTCAAATGGGTTTGGTTCTAATTGACCATAGATAATCAAATTCTCTACAAGAACACAACCTAGGAATAACATTGTAAACCCTTAAGCTCTACACCACACAAGCTAACTAAATCGCCAGAAAGGCTGGAACTTTAAGAGAGATTCTATCAAAGGAACCCTAATTTCAGAGAGAGAAAAGGAGCTGACTTTACGAAGAAAGCGTTCAACGGAACGCATCTGATTCTTGATGGAGACAGTCTTAGGTTTCTTCTCTACACGCAATACTTTCGACCTCCGACTACTTCCCGCCGCCTGATTAGGTTCCGAAACTCTTCTCTTGGCATAACCTCCGTGCGCCATGACTAAAGGATTTTGCCAAAGCTTTTGAAGTAGTTGAAGAAGGAGGAAGAGTTGAGACTTGAGAGAGCAACAGACAAAAATTAGGGGTTGTGTTTTTTTCTTTGTTCGGCGTTAGAACGCAGCGTATTAGGGGATACACAACTAGGTTGAACCGGATTATTTTCCGGTTAAACCGGTCTGTCGGATTGTGCTCTTCGTATTTTATGGCTTAGTAAATTTCACATTTGTGGATATCAAACTTCTGACTTTTCTTGAAGCTACCACTACTTTTAATAAACTGGTTAATCTCATTTAAACAATTATTGGTGACTGTTTCAGTTTCTCAATAAACTAATAGACATTGCTCTCTTGACTTATAATTTCTTGATACAGTCAGTACAGGAATGCACGATTGTATTCCTCTTTCTCTCCACCATTCATCATTTTCTCTTGTGTTGTTTCTTGCATCGCCTTGGCAGTAATCCCGGGGGTTTCTTTCTTGAAGTTTGTGCAAAATGGCGGACTGGCTTCTACTAATACCCTGGAATAAAATCTTCACTGCTGCATGTGGCTGCTTTTTAAGCGATAGAAACTACATTCACTTGATGGAGTCAAATCTCGATGCTCTGGAGACAACTATGGAAAACTTAAGAATAGACGAGATGATCTGTTAGGAAGAGTTTCCATAGAAGAAGATAAAGGTTTGCAACGGCTTGCTCAAGTCAACGAATGGCTTTCAAGGGTAAAAAGTGTTGAATCCCAATTCAATGATATGCTTGCGGCTAGAGCAACTGAAACTGGAAGATTGTGTTTGTTTGGATATTGCTCTAATGATTGCGTATCAAGCTACAATTATGGTGAAAAGGTATCGAAGATGTTGGAAGAAGTTGAAGAACTTCTATCTAAAAAAGATTTTGTAGAGGTGGCGCAGAAAATTATACGTAAGGCGGAGAAGAAGCATATCCAAACCACAGTGGGTTTGGATACATTGGTTGAAATGGCATGGGAAAGCGTCATGAACGATGAAATAAGAACCTTGGGTCTTTATGGTATGGGGGGAGTAGGAAAAACCACCCTCTTAGCTTGTATCAACAACAAATTTGTTGAATTGGAGAGTGAATTTGATGTTGTGATATGGGTTGTGGTATCTAACGACTTGCAGTATGAGGGCATTCAAGATCAGATTCTGGGAAGATTACGTCTTGACAAGGAATGGAAACAAGAAACAGAAAAGGAGAAAGCTTTGTGCATAGACAATATCCTTAATAGAAAGAAATTTGTGTTGTTGTTGGATGATCTCTGGAGCGAAATGGATCTGAACAAGATAGGAGTTCCACCTCCAACTCGAGCAAATGGATCGAAGATTGTTTCACCACTCGTTCGAAGGAAGTTTGCAAGGACATGAAAGCTGACAAGCAGATAGAAGTTGATTGTTTGTCACCAGATAAAGCATGGGAATTGTTTCGAATTACGGTTGGAGATGTCATATTCAGCGGCCATCAGGATATTCCCGCACTTGCAAGAAGAGTTGCTGCAAAATGTCATGGCTTGCCACTTGCACTTAATGTCATTGGCAAAGCCATGGCATGTAAAGAGACTTTACAAGAATGGTATCTTGCGATTAATGTTCTGAATTCGCTTGGCCACGAGTTTCCAGGTATGAAAGAAAGAATTCTTGGCGTTTTGAAGTTCAGTTATGATAGCTTGAAGAATGGTGAAATCAAATCGTGCTTCCTATATTGTTCTTTGTTTCCTGAAGATTTTGAAATAAAGAAGGAGCAGTTGATAGAATACTGGATTTGCGAAGGCTTTATAAATCCGAACAGATATGAAGATGGAGGTACCAACCAAGGTTATGATATATTTGGCTTGTTAGTTCGTGCTCATTTGTTGATTGATTGTGGGGTCGGAGTTAAAATGCATGATGTGATACGTGAGATGGCTCTTTGGATAAATTCTGACTACGGAAATCAACAAGGAACAATTTGTGTGAAATCTGGTGCTCATGTACGTCTGATACCGAATGACATCAATTGGGAGATTGTGAGACAGATGTCTTTAATTCGTACTCACATTGAGCAGATATCTTGCAGTCCCAACTGCCCCAACCTTTCAACCCTATTACTCTCAGTCTCAGGTAGCTTTGAGTTGGTGGATATTTCAGTTGGATTCTTTCGGTTTATGCCAAAACTTGTGGTCTTGGATCTTTCTGGAAACTGGGGGCTTGTTGGATTGCCGGAAGAAATTTCTAACTTAGGTTCCCTGCAATATCTCAATTTATCACGCACACAGATAGAATCGCTACCAGCTGGTCTGAAGAAGTTGAGGAAACTAATCTACTTGAATCTGGAGTACACTGTTGCACTTGAGAGTCTTGTTGGGATAGCAGCAACCTTACCAAATCTGCAAGTGTTGAAATTAATTTATTCCAAAGTTTGTGTTGATGACATATTAATGGAGGAACTACAGCACTTGGAGCACTTGAAGATTTTAACGGCAAACATAGAGGATGCCACGATTTTGGAAAGGATACAAGGAATTGACCGATTGGCGAGTAGTATTCGACGTTTATGTCTAAGATATATGTCAGAACCTCGTGTAAAATTAAACACGGTAGCTCTGGGAGGTCTTCAATACCTTGCAATTGAGAGCTGCAACATATCTGAGATGAAGATAAATTGGAAAAGCAAAGAAAGAAGGGAGCTTTCACCAATGGTAATTCTTCCATCTACAAGTTCTCCAGGCTTCAAGCAACTCTCCACTGTTTTTATATTCAATTTGGAAGGGCAAAGGGATTTGTCATGGCTGTTATTTGCTCAAAATCTAAAGAATCTAGATGTGGGCGATTCACGAGAAATAGAAGAAATAATAAATAAGGAGAAAGGAATGAGTATTACCAAAGCGCATCGAGATATTGTTCTTCCCTTTGGGAACCTGGAATCCCTTGATCTAGATAGATTGCCTGAACTTAAGGAAATCTGCTGGAATTTTCGGACTCTTCCTAACCTTAAAGAATTCTCTGTCAGATATTGTCCAAAGCTACCTGAAGATATCACTAAGTTGTCCAGCTATGCAGAGTAATAACGGGTGATGACAAGTGGTCAATTGCTAAAGTGACGACCAAACCGAGTGAAGAAATCGAAGTAGAGTACCAATTGCTTCCTTTGTTTCATTTGTTTCCATTGTTTCTTTTTGTTTCCTTTGTTTCTTTGTTTGATTTGCTTCTGCTTCCTGAAAAGGAGGAACACTCACGTTTTTTTTTCCTCCTTTTTGTTTGCATTTGCTTCCTTGTGTGTAGGAACATGTAGTTCCAAGTTTGTTTCCTAATATATAAATGAAAAAGCCAAAAAAAAAAGGCAGAGAAATTTGAATAAAGCCATTACATAACAAGGTCTCTTTATCTCTCTCCTGCTTGCTTTGCTCCTACTTTGTGTAACAATTGGTACTGTTTTTGTTTCAGTGAACTCGTTATCCAGTTACATTTCTCAAAGTTTAAACTTTCCTCTCTTCACAGTGTGAATACAAAGATTTGTTGGTGTGTTTTTGTCATGTTCTGTGTTGTCTCCTAAGTAACGAGCCAGAGTTTGTCAAGGAGAGCATAGATGGCGCTGATGTTCCTGGATTGAGCTAGCTTTAGATAATTAGATCCATGGGAGACAGTGAAAAAAAAAAAAAAAATACAAGATTGTTCATAGAAATTAGAACGTTCATTGATTTCTAAGTGAGTCCATGTAGCCCACCACAAGCAATCAATTCGAAGTTTTGGCAATATCTTTACCTTTTTGAAAAAAAAATGCTCTTTTCCATACATCACTGGAAATAAAGATGAATAAAAATCATTACAAAGACTGATTTTTATTTGGGGTCAAATAAAGAATTAAGAGCAATGAATAAAAGAGGTTTCGATGTAAAAGGATTTGTTTATTTGTACAAATTAAACGATTTATTTAATGTTTGCATTTTTGAGTCAGTTTCCTTGCCCAATGTCGCTTGGTGTGTAAGAAACTATAACATATGTGGTATATGAGATTGTATAATATTTTCATAGTGTGATGGGTTGGTCTCCTTCAAGCTCTGATATAACAATCAATGAGTCTTCCATTTCGAGGGAGAGAGGTTCGTTCTTTGGAACCGGATTGATTATCTGCAACCACGGAAAACCGAGTTATCAATGTCCGTGAAGAGGAGGAGGTTAAATGTATGTTGCAGAGTAATTAAACACTCACCTTTTTACCGCCTTTTATGTAGCCTATGGCGACTTCTCTCCTTAGCCAAGCTCGCTCTGAGAGCTCAGTGAATGAAGGGTTCTCGCCCTCTTTCATGTACAGTTCAATGTCCTGTGTATCTCAAAAGCAAACTCGAGATTTTCAGACTGCAATTTTTATGATTTTTCAAACAAAGGAAGAGATTCTTTCAACCTTAACGTATATCTCGTCACCATCTGCGTCTAGAATGTCCTTCCATACCTCGTTCAGTTCGCAATTTTCAGCAACTGATTATAAAGAAAAGAGTATTACTATTGTTCGGATTGTGGACAGATAAACAAGAAACAAAATCGAAATTGATGAAATGTAACCTTGTGCTGTTACAAGGCTCATAACTTCCTCTGCTGCTATGAAAGTTAAGGACGGCTTGAGTCCTGTTATCTGTATGGTTTTGTATAATGTTTCAGCAACTTAACCGTGAAGAAGCTAACATAAAAAAAAAAAAAAAAAAAAAACGCCTTTCAATACCTGCTTGCCGAGTTTTGAGTCAACGATTTCAGAGGCTAGATTATGTACCTAAAGAAACAACAAAAGTAAGACGAATTCTACCTATGCAATGTGGTTAGGATTCGATGAAAAGTTAAAAGATTACCTTTACTCCAAGCTTGTTGCAGATGCTTTCAGCGAGTAGAAGAGAGTAAGCGGATTGTTTGTCTGCTCTAGATGGATCTAAAAGACATCAAATTATTTGTTAGTGTTACCATTATTGCAAAAGACGGAACTAAGAAGAACTAGTCGCAAATGCTTACCTCCAAGAAGCCAGTCTCGATCCGATATGACAAGGATGGTCAAAGGAATATTTTTGCCTTTTCTATATTTACTTTTCATACGGATTATAGTTTGCTTTAATGTATCATAATTCAGAGGATTCCCAACCTACAGAAGATTGAAAAACATCAATACACAATGACTTTGACCCTCTTCTTGTTCTTGATTTACCTTATGCGAAACTTGGATGTTCTTGATTTTCACTGAACTCATACTATCACCCACTCTTCTTCTGTCCTCTAACGGTACATCCGATAATATTTCCTGTGTACAGAAATTTATTAGTAACTCATTATGTGAGAGCCAACCAGAGAGAGATAATGATATATGATCATACCATTGAACTGCCTGGACCAAGATAGTTATCAAACTCCTCGATCATTTGCACAACGTCTCCACGCCAACCAAGTAAAAGTATAGATTCTGTGGGTCCTTTGATGGAATCTGATCCCTGTGTAAACCATAGAAATGAAAATCAGAGGTCTCAAAATTTTCGAAAGCCCAGTATAAATCAAGCATTACAGGGGCCAGTTGGGAGTCAGACCTTTGATAAGGACTTACGAGGACGCACTGTAATTTTTGCTAGCCGTGATCTTTTTTTCTCAAACACTTGCTTCCGAGTATCAGTCGCAACTGTAATGTTCTCAAGTTTCATGTCTGTATATAATAGTTGCTTCTTTTTCCAATTGAGAGGTGCGATAAACAATAGTTTGTCGGTTTCCATGAGCTCTTCGTTATCATTTGGGTGGAAATTTACTTTCCCATCTCGTAAAAGGCCACAGACCACAACCTGAAAGGAATACATGTAGAGAATGAAATTCGTAACAACTATCAAAAGGTACTGATTCGAAGAACGAAAAAACATTCTCCCAAGAGTCAATCCTACCTCCTGGAACCCCAGTCTTAATTGTCTATACTTCGTCCCAGCTAGATTGGGGAAGCTGCAAAGATTAAATACATTTTCTGCAACGAGTAGACTTGGTATTAATTAGTCTTGAATACATACATAATACAAACATGAAATAAAATTCTTAACATAGATAGCAGTAATGAAAGATGAAAGCACACCGTACTTGAGTAATTTAGTAGGTGCCTGTAGATCTTTATCAGGTCTTTTTGACGTGAGCATTGGACAAACAATTTCGACGTAACATTTTCAACCGGCTCCACTTTCAATCCCGAAATAGACTTGAGAAGATCATACGTATTAGGGCTTGAAACCTGCATTCATTTCCAGAAGCAAGAAAGGTAAAAGATAAGCATTATAAACAGAACCATTACTGCACAATATATAGTTACCTAATTTACCTCTACAATGGTTGGGATCGATTCCATCTTTTGTATAGGTTGAAGGGCTAATACAGAAAGAAATGCGTCTGTATCAACTTCATACCTGAAACAATGTTTAACTTAATTGATTCCTCTTTTACAAAGTAGTGAGATTCCATACATTTTACCACTAGCATATACACATAACTCTCTTAACCGCGTCCTATATATATCCCAATTGCTAAGCTAGCTAAGTAAACATATCGATATGTATTTTACTATGGAAAAGCTAAGATGAAAGAGTTACGACACTAAAAACATTACTACTCAAATATCTACCCGGAACTTCTCAGTTTCCATAATCTTTTTTCTCAAAGCTGACACACATATACTTTCCGAGAGTTGAATTTTTCTTACCTATCACCTTTCGTTGGTAGTATGATAATAGCACGTGCCATAGAGGCAGCAGCCCTCTCAAATGATTTCGTCATGTTAAGACTACAACTGCACTGGTAGACAGCATGAAATCAGCACTGTAAATGTATGCAAACCAACAAGAACCTGAATTAATATGGCATGTCAACCACTTTAGGTTCACTTTTGCTTAATAGGTAGCATGTCAACCAGTTTACCTCTGTGTAAGGATATCAATATGATTAAATCTCTGGAGTACGCCTCAGCTAGCTTGTCCATCTGCTTCCTTGGAGTATCAGACATGAGCAGAAGTCTCTGCTTCCCTGAAAGCATGTAACAAGGAAAAGTAAGTATCCCAGTCAACATAAGCCGAGAAATAAATTGTAGATATATAGAGAGACAAAAATACCTAGCTGTAGCGGTACCTAAGCGGACAGCATGCTCATGGTAGCTGTTCAGTTGCTTTAGTATGAAAGGTAGATGACTGTTTATTCCACAAATGATGATATGATCAGCTTCTAGGACTTGCATCTGTGCCCCTTCCCTCAGTTTTGTCATATTATACTGCCAGCCAAAGCGATTACGAATTTGTACCAATTAACAGTCATTTTTCACCAGTAGCGTTTATCTCAAGAACTTACCCGAAATTGTTCTGTCATTGTGCTTAAAAGCCGAGAGTAAAACAATATTCCCCAAATGGCTAGGACAAATCCAATGACTCTTTCTATGCGTGTCTTTTGCTGCATTTTTCAGTAGACATATATGCATTTAGTTTCAAGAACTCCATAGAAATATCTTGAGGCTTGTAATTTGAAATTATCTTTGGATCGGTGAAGAAGCAAATCATGACCTTCAGATGAGTAGAAGAGGATATGAGGCATGCCCAGGCTTCCCAAAGGCAGTCTTCTAATGGTAGGTCTTTCCTTCACATAAGTAAGAAATCATGCAATGGAAATTCATACGTTAGAGTTAAGTCCATTTACAAGGGTCTTCACTTAATATATAACATACATTAGATTATTTTGCTTTTCTACAATTTCTTCATCAGACTAAAACCAAGAATTGTGTTTTATCATTCATGTATAGAGTTTCAGAAAACTTCATCATATAACCACACTAAGACGATCTTGAGAAGGCTTTAAATCGATAAGCTAAGTTAAATAAAGTTGTGTTACCTGAATTTGAAAATAGGAGTCCCCCAATGATAACAAACGATACACATGCTATCATGAGCGCCACAAGGAACCTAAAATAGCCACGACAAGGGATCAAAACGGATGTCATAGTCACACAAAAAAATAGAAAACTACATATGAACTTAGGTGATCCTCAACCTCTATGTCCACACTATTGGAAGCCGAAAGATTTAAGTCAATTTTTACACTATTTCC